TCAGGGCGGCTGACAAATTAGATAAAATACTAACATATATACATATTATGCCTAATTAAAAATTTAATTAAAACGAAATATTTAAATATGTCCAATTAAAAGTAATTTAAAACCCCTATAAAATCCCTTAGGCCAGTCCCGCTAGCTGGAACAACCACGTCTTGAGGGCGCGGCGGAAGGAAGGGAGATCAGGGATCACAATAATTTAAAATGTAGATAAAAATACCATAAAATTATATTTCGGTGTCACCCCTGCAATCTACCCCAATCGGTCCCACATAGGCAGATCTCAACTGAACCATTTTGCTTAAGTACTGTGCTAAATGTTATTTTCAGATTCTGGCCACACATAAGGTAAGTTGTGTTGATATGGGGATCCCAATATAGAAATAAAATAGGAAGGAGCCAAGATTTATTGCCTTTAGTTAGAATAAGTACAGATAAAAGTTGTGGTTAGCCTTCATGCGGCAACACTTCATGGTGGTTTATAGATCAGAAGATTTTGCAAACTCAGTCACCGGTTTATTCTTTAAACCATGGATTGGTCTGTCTGCTCCTTTCACTCCTTAATATCTAGGTTTGAATCAGATTTAAGAAGAGACAACTCTTTCTGGAAATTAATCACAGATGAAGTGGTGATATTTTAGAGAGATTTTGCTTATAAACCAGACAACAGGGACTTCTTTTTTTTCCCTTGATTGTAATATAAACTACTGTAAAACTTTTTTACATTTTTTTGTGTGTGCATTCAAGTCAGTCTTTATTCCCGGAGACTGCCTGGACGAGTCCTTGCAGTTTTCTTGGCAAGATTTTGGAAGTGGTTTGCCATTGCCTCGTCACACAGCAAATTTTGTGCCCAAGGCTTGACGCGCTAGAACTCCCGGTTTCCCTTTTTTTCTACACCGAACTGGCTCTCCCTAAATTTTTGATTAAAACGTGGCATTAAAAAAACACGTTGAATTAATAAATAAAAAAGCCTTCATAACAGAGGGACCCCCATTTTCAATTTTCATGCTGTGTGAAAAAGCATCATAGTTTGGAAATGAGGGATTGAATGTGGAGTTAAAAGAGGTCATTGAAACCAAAGCTTTGGAACAGAAGCATTGAGAATTAGGCCGTGTTTTGTGATAAGGTACAGTTACCGGCCTGAGCAGGGGGTTGGACTTGATGACCTCCAAGGTCCCTTCCAACTTTATTAGTAGTAGTAGTAGTAGTATTATTAGTATTATTAGTATTATTATTAAATAAACAAATTGTGGCTGAAGGAAAATAACATTATGGCTCAAGATAATACAGCAACACATCCACTGATTGGTTTGTGCATCACATTAAAACATAAGAGGGATAGAATCAAGATCACATGAAGTGTTAATACCACTTTATAATGCCTTGGTCAGGCCACACACAGAATACTCCATCCAGTTTTAGTCACCACGATCTAAAAATGTTGAGACCCTAGAAAGAGGGCAGAGAAGAGCAACAAAGATGATCAGGGGGCTGGAGGCTAAAGCATATAAGGAACGGTTGCTGGAATTGGGGTATGTCTAGTTTAATGAAGAGAAGGACGAGGGGGGACAGGATAGCCGTGTTCCAGTATCTCAGGGGCTGCCCCAAAGAAGAGGGAGTCAAACTCTTCTCCAAAGCGCCTGGAGGCAGGACAAGAAGCAACAGGTGGAAACTAATCAAGGAGAGAAGCAACCTGGAACTAAGGAGAAACTTCCTTGACAGTGAGAACAATTAACCAGTGGAACAACCTGCCTCCAGAAGCGGTGAATGCTCCAACACTGGAAGTTTTTAAGAAGAGACTGGACAGCCATTTGTCTGAAATGGTGTAGGGTTTCCTGCCTGAGCAGGGGGTTGGACTAGATGACCTCCAAGATCCCTTCCAACTTTATTTTTATTTTTATTGGCTGAATGTTAAAATTCAAAAGGGTCCCTGCACACATTCTGGTGTACAAATGTCTTGACATTTTCTGTCATCATGTGAAGGAACACTTTAGATCGTGATAGATCCATAATTACACTATCAAAAAATCATGACTTTGGAGACACCAGCTCCCCTGCCCCCCCCCCCCCCCCAATCTTAAATACTGGAGTCCTTGACTTACAACCATTCATTTAGGGACTTTTCAAAGTTACTATGGCACTTATGACTGTTTTTCATACTTACGACCGTTGAAACGTCCCCAGGGTCACGTGATCGAAATGCAGATGCTTGTCAACTGGCTCTTGTCGCAAAACAAATAACGGTGACTTTAATTTCTCTTAAATAAACTTAATCCTATTGCTCATGAGATACTTCTTCTTTTTTTTCTTCCAAACTAGGCTCTCCATCTTGGGAGAAACAGGTACAGGGCTACTAAAGTAGCACCCCAAATGGTCCTGAATGTCCCTGAAACTAAAGTCTCAACTCTGGACAATGGCTTGAGGGTAGCTTCTGAAGATTCTGGAATTACAACGTGTACGGTAAGTAACCTTGGTCAGCGAGAAACTGGCCTTTCTCAAGCTTGACTTCAGAAGTCGTAGGTGCTCCATCCCCGGAGATTTTTAAGAAGAGACTGGACAGTCATTTGTCTGAGATGGTATAGGTTCTCCTGCTTGAGCTGGGGGCTGGACTAGAAGACCTCCAAGGTCCCTTCCAGCTTCTATTCTATTCTATTCTATTCTATTCTATTCTGTATTTCTATTCTATTCTATTCTATTTTCTATTCTATTTTATGTTCTTTTCTATTTTCTATTCTATTTTTTATTCTATTTTCTATTCTATTTTCTTTTCTATTTTCTTTTCTATTTTCTATTCTATTTTCTTTCTATTCTATATTCTATTCTATTCTATTTTCTTTTCTATTCTTTTCCATTTTCTATTCTATTTTCTATTCTATTTTCTATTCTATTCTATTCTATATTCTGTTCTATATTCTATTCTATTCTCCATTCTATTCTATTCTCCATTCTCCTATTCTATTCTGTTCTGTTCTGTTCTATTCTATTCTTATTATTCTCTGGCTTAAGGATCTCCATGACTTATGATTAACATTCCAGGTTCAATTCTGGCCATAAATATTCCCTAAGGGACCAACCTGTTAGACTTTTCTAGCTGTTCCTCCATATTACAGCTCATGAACACCAAATTTGTCATGGTAAGGTTTTATCCTTTTAAGTGAAAATCAGTTTTTTTCTAGTTTCCTCAGCATTTTGGAAGCTGTGTTTTATTGTTTTAATAAAAAATAATGTCTTCTGAATAAGGTGGGACTTTGGATCGATGCTGGAAGCCGATACGAGAATGAGAAAAACAATGGGACGGCCCACTTCCTGGAGCACATGGCTTTTAAGGCAAGTTCTGAAAATATATTTCATTTATTCATTTCTGACCGTGTGCGTTGCAAAGGCCCAAGGTCGCTGCTCGCCTTTTTATTTCATTTTATTTTGCAAGAATTCTTCTGAGCCGTACGGAGGCCCTGTGAGGATCCTTAAAAACTAAAAAAGTGTTAAGTTGCCTGTGTTGAACCTGCAGGAAATAAGGCACGGTGGAACAGATAGCAGGGGTCTTCAAACCTGGCCCTTTTATGACTCGTGGACTTCAACTCCCAGAATTCCTCAGCCAGCGTGCCTGGCTGAGGAATTCTGGGAGGAGTGTTTAAACTTGGCCCTTTTATGATTCGTGGACTTCAACTCCCAGAATTCCTCAGCCAGCATGCCTGGCTGAGGAATTCTGGGAGGAGTGTTCAAACTTGGCCCTTTTATGACTTGTGGACTTCAACTCCCAGAATTCCTCAGCCAGCGTGCCTGGCTGAGGAATTCTGGGAGGGTATATAAGTCTAAGTGCTATTGCTATGAAGTCCCAATAAATAATGTCTTTTTCCCCCCCTATCGCTTCTCCAGTTGAAATAACTGCAGATCCTTAAATCGCAGGGAACGAGAAAGAGATCTCAGTTGGATCTGGAGCTAGAGATTGAGAACATGGGCGCTCACCTTAACGCTTACACCTCGAGGGAGCAAACCGTGTATTACGCCAAAGCTTTCTCAAAAGACCTGCCGAGAGGTAATTGTAAAGCTCTGAAATTTTGTTTGATTAGGTGTTGTGTGCTGTTTGGCAAACAACAGATTAAATATGGGGTGACTGCATGCTACCCATGCTTCCTTGGGCATATTCCACTCAGGGAAGCCTCGAACCGTGAGATGGGGTGGCAAATCAATGTAATAATAACCAATAAAGCAAAGGTAGTACAAGTAGCAATAGGTGCCTTGGGTGCAACCCCAAAACATCTGGAGCATAACTTGAACACCGTCGGCATTGACAAAATCCCCGTCGGTCAATTGCAAAAGGCAGTTTTGCTTGGAATAGCTGACATCCTGTGACAGATACCTGTAACATCATCAAACATCCACAGTTACCTATTCCAGGTCCTTGGAAAGAGACTCAACCGGTGGATAAAACGTCCCAAAATCCAGTCTGAACATCTGTCTGCCGGTGCGATAATAATATTCTTCCATGCTTTTCTTTGAAATAGAACTCTAGTTTACGGTAGCATCAGTGGGTGGAGCCAAGTGGGATGCAGAATGATCAAAGTCAAGTCTCCCGCAGGCCACGCCCCTTTGGTCCATTCAGAGGAAATAAAAAAAACCCGGGATGTTCTGAAGAGTCTCACATAATTCAAATAATGTTGAGCTGTCCCATCAGTAATTAACCGATATAAATAAAAATGTAAATGTTCGTTTGTTCAAAATCTTAAATCTCCGAAAGTTCTTCACCGATTGCTTTGAAATTTTGACACAACGTTGCATTTGAATACGCGCGTGTTTTTATATACCTACTATTATATACGGTAGATGTCACACCTGTGACAGGTAAAAACATGCTTTTTTTTTGAAAAACAGCGCCATCTGTTGGACGTAAAAGCAACACACGCTAACAGACTGAGCCACAGCAACGCGTGGCTAGTTAATTATAAATATTTTCTTTCCATCTCAATCTGGAGGAGATGTGAAGTTTTTCTACCTGCCAGCTGCATTTAGTTGTAAATTGAAATCCATTTAAATCAAATCAAATCAAGCTTTATTGTCAAAGTACAACATGTGCACGAGATTGGCTAAGTCTGAAATCCGTTTAAGACTAAACTTAGCGGGTGTCTCAAAATCTGGTGAAATATTAAGCGGGGGGGAAATAATTTTAATTGGTGGATTACTGAAATTTAATTTCTGTTGCTATGCGAAAAGTTGTTAAGTGAGTTTTCCCCCCACTTTTGCCCCACAATCTTTCTTCCACGGGGGTACCACCACGGTGGGAAGTGGGCCAAACGGTCACCCGTCTCCTTTTCCCCCCCAGCGCCGTTGTAACGCCGAACGGTCACTAAACAAACCGCTGCGAGTTGAAGGCGGCCCGTGCATGTTTGATAATTCCCCCCGGTGAAAAATATCCTTGGAAAACTTGTTGGAATGAAATGGAGTCCTGTTGTATTTTGCAAGCGTGTGGTTTTTTTACCCCGTCTGTCTCGTCAATTTCAGCGGTTGAAATCCTTGCCGACATCATCCAGAACAGCACCCTGGGGGAGGCCGAGATTGAGCGGGAGCGAGGCGTGATCCTCCGGGAAATGCAGGAAGTGGAGACCAACTTGCAGGAAGTGGTCTTCGATTACCTTCACGCCACAGCCTACCAAAACACAGCCCTGGGACGGACGATTTTAGGACCCACCGAGAACATCAAGTAGGTCCCCCCGTCTCAGCTCTTCTTCGTTAAGTCAGAGAGAGACCGTCAGAATTTTGATCACGTGACCCCGGGGACACTGAGACCGTCATAAATACGAATCAGTTGCCAAGCGTCTGAATTTTGATCACGTGACCCTGGGGACACTGAGACCGTCATAAATACGAGTCAGTTGCCAAGCGTCTGAATTTTGATCACGTGACCCTGGGGACACTGAAACCGTTGTAAATACGAGTGTCAGTTGCCAAGCGTCTGAATTTTGATCATGTGACCCTGGGGACACTGAGACCGTCATAAATACGAGTCAGTTGCCAAGCGTCTGAATTTTGATCACGTGACCCTGCGGACACTGAAACCGTTGTAAATACGAGTCAGTTGCCAAGCGTCTGAATTTTGATCACGTGACCCCGGGGCGGGGAGGGGGCTATAGTGATTGTAAGTGTGAAAAATGGTCCCAAGTCCCTTTTTTCAGTGCCGTTGTAACTGAACGGTTACTAAGCGAACTGTTGTAAGTCGAGGACCACCTGTATTTATAATTTGTATGTTGTTTTTGCTCTTTTTTTGTTTTTTTCATCCGAGTGATATTTTTTTTTATTCCTCATTTCACTCATCCAACAGGTCCATTAACCGCAATGATTTGGTGGAATATATAACGACGCATTACAAAGGACCGAGAATTGTCCTGGCATCTGCTGGAGGTTGGTGCGATGCAGGGCTGTCGGTCTGTAATATTTGCATGATTTATTTTAGGACCCCACAGTTCTCCTCCTCCTCCTCCTCCTCCTCCATCATCATTCTAGAAACCTTACTCCCTTCTAGCACTGATGTTGCTACCTAGTTGAGTCATGAAAAGTCTGCAAGAAAACAAGCAAACTCAGCACCAAGGACCCCACAGTGATTGTCCTCCTCCTCCTCCTCCTCCTCCTCCTCCATCATTCCACAAAGCCCGCTCATTTCTAGCACTGATGATGTTACCTAGTTTGGTAATGAAATGTCTGCAAGAAAACACAAGCTCAGAGAGCACCAAAGACCCCACAGTTGTTGTTGTTGTTGTTGTCCTCCTCCTCCTCCTCCTCCATCATCATTCCACAAACCCTACTCCCTGATGATGTTACCTAGTTGGATAATGAAATGTCTGCAAGAAAACAAACAAGCTCAGAGAGCACCAAGGACCCCGCAGTCGTCGTCGTCGTCGTCGTCGTCGTCGTCCTCCTCCTCCTCCTCCTCCTCCTCCTCCTCCTCCTCCTCCATCATTGCACAAAAGCTCAGTGAGCACCAAGGACCCCCCCACTGCAAACCCTGAGCTACAAATATTCTCCTTTATTAGTTGTAAATAATTTTTGCGTCTAAACGGGGAAACTCTGAAAGCTTCCTCCTGCAGCTTGACTGTGTTCTAATCCAGCCTGTCGTTGATTTAGGAGTCGCTCATGAGGAACTGCTTGAGCTGGCAAAATACCATTTTGGCAACTTGCCCTCCATTAAGAAAGAAGGCGCTCCGGTTCTGCCCCCTTGCCAGTTCACCGGCAGCGAAGTAAGTGGAGGTTCTCCCTTCTCCGAGGGGCCTGGGACAACAGCAGCCTCACCAAAGCGGTGGATAGCGTACCACAGGGGTCTTCAAACTGGGCCCTTTTGTGACTCGTGGACTTCAACTCCCAGAATCCCTCAGCCGGCGTGCCTGGCTGAGGAATTCTGGGAGGGGTCTTCAAACTGGGCCCTTTCATGACTCGTGGACTTCAACTCCCAGAATTCCTCAGCCAGCGTGCCTGGCTGAGGAATTCTGGGAGGGGTCTTCAAACTTGGCCCTTTCGTGACTGGTGGATTTCAACTCCCAGAATTCCTCAGCCAAGCACGCTGGTAAAAAGTCACCCAGCCAGTTTTCATGCCTAAGGCGGGAGTAGAATTCGGCCTCTCTTGGTGATTGGCCCAAAGTCACTCAGCTGACTTTCATGCCTAAGGCGGGACTAGAACTCCCCTCTCCTGGTGATTGGCCCAAAGTCACTTAGCTGGCATTCGTGCCTGAGATGGAACTAGAATTCACCCACTCTTAGGGATTAATCCAAAATCACCCAGCCAGTTGTCAGGCCTAAGGCTCCCTGGTGATTGGCCCAAAGTCCCCTAACTGGCTTTCAAGCCTAAGGTGGGACTAGAACTCACCGTCTCCTGGTGATTGGCCCAAAATCACCCAGCTGGTTTCCATACCTGAAGCTGGAGACTAGAACTCACAAATCTCCTTATTTCTAATTCATTTCGTGTTGTTTTCAGAGTGTCAACTCTCAGCCACCATAGATCAATTTCCCTTTAGGGCAGGGGTGGGCAACCTGGGCTCTTTTATGACTGGTGGACTTCAACTCCCAGAATTCCTGAGCCAGCCATGCTGAGGGGAAAGGGAGAGGTTTCCAAGCTGAGCCATGCTGGCTCAGGAATTCTGGGAGTTGAAGTCCACGAGTCTTAAAGTTGCCAAGGTTGAGGACCCCTGATATATAGGGCAGGGGTGGGGAACCTTGGCCCTTTTATGACTGGTGGACTTCAACTCCCAGAATTCCTGAGCCAGGCACGCTGAGGGGAAAGAGAGAGGTTTCCAAGCTGAGCCATGCTGGCTCAGGAATTCTGG